AGAGAGAGAGAGAGAGAAAGAAAATTATAAAGATAAAGAAGAGAAAGGATGCTACTGGCATTTAGATCACTTAACTTCACAGCCACTGACATTTCAGAAAAGTCATGATTGTCACCTTGAGCCCTACAAAAAAGCTGGGGGAAAACAAAGGAACACAACCCAAGTAAGCCACGATTTCAAATAAAAATGCTTTTGATGACTTACGGGTGTATATTGTACTTCTTTTGGAAACTAAATTTTTACTTTGGACACATAGTTCATTCTTAGCATCACATAGGTAATTTGAGAGTATCTGATGTGATCCTTGACTTTAAAAACATTCTATTGATCAGAAATTTCCAATAAACATGGAGGAAAATGAATACATAGATATTTCCTGAAGATGAAAATTAAAACACACTTCCTATTGCTGTATGATTCAAAGTTTCCAAATAATCATTTGTAGGGCCCATTGCCATCTAGTTGTATAAACATAAATGAGTCCAAGATAACACCCAAAGCTCAAAGAGTAATGACAAAGGTGGAAGAGATGGTCTAGTCAGGCATGAAATTGATTTTATAATAACAAATATCTGTTGCCTTCCATGTGCTAAGTAAATAATTCTGAAGCAGGGGGTAAAGATAATAAAAACAAAATCATTAACTGCTTATACTAAATCAAACATAGAAAGAAACCCATTGTCATATTGACCCTGAAGCCTGTTTAATGGCTAATTAAAGCAATTATTTTCATTATGACACAGCCCTTAATCATAGGTGCCTTCAAAGCCATAAGAGAGTTTGGCTGGCAACCTAGTTGGGAGTAGATCTCTATGACACCCCTCCCCACCCCAAATTTACACAGATAATACATGAGACACTGTGCTTAGGTAAGGCAAAAAAAAAAAAAAGGAACATTCAGGGATAAATCCAGTTCTAGGGCTTGCAACAGAATCATAGACCCTACAATCAACCTTTGAAGGCAGGTTTAAGACAATGTCATTAGACTCATTGTTTTTTGGTCTTATTTTTTTCCCCAAAAAGCAAGTTAGCTAATTGAAGATAGTAGAAGTTTATTGTCAGCTTAAAAAGGTCACTTTCATTATCATTATGTCATTCATATTCCTACAACTCAGCGTGGTTGATTAGAATATAATTTTACCAAGAGTAGATTTTCTGGTTCGATGCCCAGATGGGTCAGTTAGCTTTTCTCAGTCCCTTGGCCCCACAACTCATTTTTCAAGCTATCTACTTCCAAATGTGAGACTTTCATCTAAAAGGAATCACAAAAAAAAAATTATAGAAAAAAGAAGTATTAAATTTTTCCAAATTCCAGGGGGCTAGACAGTGGTGCAACAGTAAAATGTAATGCTCTGCAAGGTTGAACAATAGGGGTAGGTTGTGGTTCATGTCCATAGCCCTCCCTGAGTATATCAGGCATGCACGTGAGCATGATCTGGAAGATGGCTGAAGTTGGGGACAGATCCTGGTGTCAAGTCCCTGAAGGGGTGCTGTCTTTCTGTATCTTTCTCTCTGTCACTCATGGAAGAAATAAATTTTTTAGAAACTTCAAATTCTAGCAATTCCAGAAAAGATTCCACCAAGTACTTTATTAGTGGTGACAGCACATGTTCATGGACACAAGTGAAGTAAATACCTGTGTCTGTGTTTCTAGCACCCACTCTTTTTCTTGACATTGCTATTCTCCATATTCCATTGCAGTTGCCAAGCAAGATTCCTTGGTACCATGTGACAACCCCCTTGCCACAGCTGACTGAATAAGAGATTTACATCTTTCCAAATCTGAGTCAAACAGAAATATTTTCCTGGGAGTTTTTAAATCAGAGTCAGAAAATACATGTAAGTCTTTGCTGCTTTGAGTATGGAAACAGCCTAAATTACAGTTCAATAGCTGTTGGTGACCATGTTTTGTCACCCTATACAGGAAACTTGGCCTTAGTTAGAAAGAACAAAGCCACCACACAGAAAGAAATAGAGACAGAAGGTAGAAGAGAAGGGTCTGGCAGCATTCATTCCCATGCTCTGATTGTTCCTGAGGTTCATTTCCATCTGCGCCCTCTCATTGCTCCATTTTTTAACTCTTTGTTTGCCTTCCAAGATCTGCTGAATTCCCTTGCTTTTACCTTAACTAATTTGAGTTGGATTTCTGTCATTTGCAACCCAGCTAATACATACACACTCATTGAAAGGAATTAAAAGAAGAGTATGTCATCCTCAGTTCTGGCATTTGACACTATGTACTGGTTCATCAGAAAAGTCATGACATATTTTTTTCTATGTAAAAATGCATCATGACTGGGAACCAGCAGTTAGCGTAATGGCTATGTCGCTGGACTCCCATGTAGTTGACCGCGGTTCGTGTCCCGGACCTGGTGGCTTAAAACTCACGCCGGGCGCGTGTGCGTGCATGCCCAAGATCCCGAGAGGAGAATGGAGGAGAAGGGATTGCGGCGTGGCCATCCCCCCTGGGGGGTGATTTCTCGCTTTCTGTCTCTCTGTCTCTCTTGTCTGTCTGGCGAACGCACGCGCCCTATAGCAAAAAAACCTCTCCCCCCAAAAAAAAGAAAAATGCATCATGACTTTTCCATCAACTCAATTTCAATCTCAAGAGGAGGTGATACTGCAGCAATGAACAACCCCAAACCTCAGCAGCTTAAAGTAACAAAGGTTTAGTTGTGGGTGACCATAAGGCTGTTTCCTCAGGACAGTTCTGGTTTATGCTTATTGCTCAGTCTCTTAGTCTCCAAAGTACTCTGATTGGAGCAAAAATAGTATAGGGTCACTCTAATGATTTCTCATTTATGCTAACTAGCCATCACAGGGAACCCAGGCAGATAAAATAATCACTATCTCTAACATGCTCCAGACTAGGAGCATCATTTCTATCAACAATTCATTGGCCAGAATTATAGTATATGGCTTCACTCAGTCACAAGGTACTCAGTAAGGCCATTCTACACAGAAGGCCAAGACCTTGAATTATTTCATTTGTACTTCCTTTTCTAGATTTAGCTCTTTGACAAGCTGCATTAGGTCACTTGACAGTCACTGGATGCCTATTTGTTAGACATAGTGCTAACTCTTGAAGAATAACACAATGAATAAGGCACGATCACTGTCCCAGAAGCTTAAAATCTCTTAGTATACCTTAGGGTATCTTTTGGATCATTATAACAGTAATTCACTAAGTGATTTCTGTAAGAACTACCAGAGTTAATATCGCCAAGGTATGGTTCACTCACTTGGTAAGACCTAATTTAAAACAACAACAACAACAATAAAACTGTATGAAAATTTTATATAGCTTATTCTACCAACTTAATTTTAAGTATAGCTTATATTCCTTTGCTATAAAAAATCTGTTCTTGGGAACCAGCAGTTAGCGTAATGGCTATGTCGCTGGACTCCCACATAGTCGACCGCGGTTTGTGTCTCAGACCCGGTGGCTTAAAACTCACACCGGGCGTGTGTGCGTGCGTGCCCAAGATCCCGAGAGGAGAATGGAGGAGAAGGGATTGCGGCATGACCATCCCCCCTGGGGGGTGATTTCTCGCTTTCTGTCTCTATGTCTCTCTCTGTCTGTCTGGCGAGCGCACGCGCCCTACAATGAAAATCTCTCAAAAAAAAAAAAATCTGTTCTTAATTAAATAAGCATAATATAGAAAACCCTAATATAAAATGCTAGCAATGTCTCTTACATATAGTTTACATAGTATTTACTTTTACGTAATAGCTACTGGAACTTCTTTCCAAATCTAGAATTTTCCATCTACTACCACTGGAGCACTCATAACTTAACTTTCCCTGTTATGACTAAAACTGAAACTACATCAAGATGTTCCTGTTCCCATTTCTTAAAGTCTAAATAAGAAAAATTCCTGTACTCATTATCAGAGATACAAAAGTAAAAAGTGTGGATCTAACACCAAAAATGGAACTTGAAATTCATTTTTTCATAGAATATTCTATAAGATGGTGAGTTATTACATTATTAGTACTATATTTTAGCAACCTTGTGAGTGAAATAGCTTTTTATGGACCAGTCTAGAGACTTCAGTACCACTTATATCATTGTTATTAGGCAGAAAAATGTTTTAAATTCCAAGCAACTCAATTCCACATTAATTTTGGAATAGTAACTATTTCTTAAGTTAGGCTTATCTGAATGTGACAGATGCTAGGTCAGTATGATTTAGTGAGCTGTCCAAATAAAGCCTTTGCTTTAAAGTCCATCACTGTTTATCATGGCTGTGTGATAGACTTTCAACGGCTTGGCTTCAATCATTAGACCACCATGTACTGAGTACCTCCTATGCACAAGACAGTATTCTGAGTGCTGGTGCTATTTTAGTGCCCAAGAGAGGTTGGTTATCTCTTTCTTGGTATCATCTTTGCCATTTCCATGGATTCTCTGAATGGCAGGGAGGGCAATGAAACAAAGTCTTGAGAATGCCCTTCCTGTATGGTACCAGGTTAGAGTCATCCAATGAGAAGTATCTATGTAACATTTGGACAGCTTTGGCAGCAGATGCAGGCAGACTCATGAGAAGAGGCAAGTTCTTGAGAATCCCTAAGATCAGCAGTTGCAATTTCCACTGTGATTGGGACATTCGCTGAGACAGCTTTTAGGTAAATTCCTACAAGTCACCTGCTTCCACCACCTGCTTCCATGACCTTCCAAGGTGGTGTAAGCCTCTAGTTCCTTGTATAAAGCCCTTCTTTTTTTTGTATGACCTGGATGGCTGCTATTGTCTCAACCCCAAACTAACTGATATAGCAAGGCAATTCAGTCCTTGCCCATACGTGCTATGTTTCTGTGGGGAAGACAGACACTAAATAACTGATTATACACATTGCTATGTGATTGTCAACGGTGTAATGGAACAAACTCCTACCCATTGTCACAGACACTTGTTAAATTTTTAAGAATTTTGCAGAAGCCAGTTATTAAGCATAGTCAACATTAAAAATTAAGCTATGTAAACCTTCATTTTTGGGGGAAAATACTGGATTTAATAGAAAATATCACACTGTAAACAAGTTCATTAATCCATTAGCTTAAAACAGAATGACAACACAATCAGATATAAAAGCTACAGATGAAATACTGGTACCAAACATAGCACTTAAAGGCCTGAAGATCTTTCCCAGAAATAGAGGCAGAAGTAGCTTTGAACAGGCACAGAAACAGGGAGGCGGCCCATCCACTCCTTGAAGGTTGAAGAGAGTAGAGGGAACGTGGAGCAACAGCCCATCTTGGAGTAGGCGGTGGAAGACAATGGGCACAGGCTTGTACTGAGGTGTTCTGAGAACACCAGACCATAGCAGTGGACCCGACAAGGGTTAGGAGAGCAGGGTCTTGCAAGTAGGGGAACAGTACTAACTCATTTGGTCTGTTGTGGTTGCCATTGACTCTCAAGGAAGTGAGACAGCATGGTGCTCATGTGTTACAACAACTGAACTCAACAACTGAACTTGTGCCCAGATATCACCTGGCTGAACACAACAATAGTGTCTCTTGCCCCCTCTCCCAGATTCAGACTTACTAATGAGTGTGTAAAAGAAAGGAGCCACAGAGAGTCCTTGGGCAAAGACACAGGGCTCCAGTGTTTACTTTCCAGCACCTTACCCTCTTTGTGCTGGAGCCTGGGGGAGAAGTCTTACATGGCTGGACCCTGGAGGCTCTGAGTGTATCATCAAAAGCCATCTCTTTAGTCCCATCCACCCAAATCCTCCCCCAAGATTTCTCCCAGTTCATGAAAGGCTGGCATTGAGAGCAGAAAAACAAAAAACAAAAAACAAAAACAAAACAAAACAAAAAAAACCCAAGATGTGTGTGTATGGGTGGAGGAGGGTAAGGGATGGTTTTCTTTCCATGGCACCTGTAACTAACTGATAAAAGGGACTGCTTCCTTGTATTTAGTTTAGATGCTGAAAAGTCTGTTCCTTAACCAGGAATAATGATTCTGAAATAGGGGACAGATCTGCTCAAGAGGAGTTCTCGAGACTCTCCAAAGAGATTGTGTCCAATATATACAAGCCTTAACTCCTTCCCACTTAAGAATCAGTACACATAAGGATAGAAATTCCTGACGGGAATGTTCTACACATGGGAACAGTGGCAGGGGTAAAACACAAAGCTAAAAACTCTTCATCTGGGTGTGGCAGACATCAAACTAATGGGAGTGCCTTTTTCAGAGATTGTTTTCTGATTAGGTTGCACACAAGTCATTCTCCCTATAGCTAGTTCTAGACCAGGCCCCTAGCCTCACAGCCAAGAAGAGTAAGTTCACCACTTATGTGGAGTATCCATATTGGAATGAGGCAATTTCCAGAAAGACTTGCCTGTCTATGAGGTACTTGATATTTGGTCCCAGCACAGGCTAATCACTGTACAGTTTCTTAGAAGACTGGCTTTTCTCAATGTCTTTCTCTTTGATACTGTACAAGGGATCTACCAACTTGTTATGAGCAAGCATTAAACTTTTGAAATATTTGACAGTCTTTACTTTCAGCTCCAACGTGGCATCCTCGTCACACACAAACACGGTGCGGGGATGCTGCTGGAAGGCGGATATGGTCCACATGTGGGTCACACCCTCCTCAATGGCCTTGTACAGAGCGAATGCCTTGTGAGCACCTGTGATGAGGACCATCACCTCTCTAGCATCCATGACAGTGCCCACACCCACTGTCAGGGCCATGGTGGGTACCTTAGCCAGATCTCCATCAAAGAACCTGGCATTGGCCAAGATGGTGTCTATGGCCAGTGTCTTTATGCAGGTCCTGGACACCAGACTGGAGCCTGGCTCGTTGAAGGCAATGTGTCCATTGGGGCCGATACCTCCAATGAAGAGCTCAATCCCACCCACAGCCTTGATCTTCTCTTCAAAGGCATCACACTCAGCCTGTAGGTTCACTGCATTCCCATCCAGGATGTGGGTGTTTTCTGGTTCTATGTCAATGTGCTTGAAGAAGTTGTTCCACATGAAAGAGTAGTAACTCTCTGGGTGGTCTCGAGGAAGGCCCACATACTCATCCATGTTGAAGGTCTTCACATATTTAAAGGACAGGTCCCCATTTTTGTAGTACTCGATCAGATTCTTATAGCAGCCAAGAGGAGTGCTCCCAGTGGGCAGCCCCAGGGTGAAGTACTTATCTGGCCCTGAGTTAAACTGGATGATACGGTTCCTGATGTATCTGGCCGCCCACTCGCTGGCCTGAGAATAGTGGTCAAGGATGATAAGCTTCATCTTGTCTCAGATGCCTCCTGTGGCGGCTGCAGTGACTTTAAACTTCGAATAAATTATATAAAAACAAAAGTGATAAGTACTTTAAGCTGAACATTTCCTATTGTACTGTCAAACCCCTAAGGTTATGTACATTTATTTACATATGTGTGGTAGAAATTACATATAACACTTGCTACTGAACTACTCGATTCCATGTTCAGCACCATCACATCGACAGTTTGCTATCACCACACTGGGAGTTTTTACCCCACTGAAATCAGCACACACTACAAATCAGGGAGCTTGTTTTTCCTCTTCATAGTGCCAGTTGTTAAACATTTACCAAAATATTACTGATAACTGTGATAAGTACTAGAAATAAGTATATGATTCCATAGACCAGAGAGACTCTGCTATAACCAGGGGTTTCAAGGAAAATTCCTGAAGGAAGTGATACTTGGAGGTAGTTATACTTGAGTTAAGCTCTGAAAGTTGGGGGTAAAGGAGTAGGAAGAAAACTCTCTGATGTCTCTTCATCTTCAATAAGGACCCCAGTCCTATTGATCAGGAGAGAGCTCATCCTCACAATTTCATTTAAACTTCATCACCTCCTTAAATGCGATATACCCCTATGAGGTTGGAGCTTGAACACAGAAATTTTGTGGGACCATAATTCAGTCCATGTAATATAATATAAGAACATATATCATATATTTGGTTCAAATATTCAAGAATATAGTCTTTATGAAATTCCATTAGTGATCATGATAACAATTTCTGAATATAAATGTATGATATTCTCAAAACTGAATGATATAAACTTGAAATAGTATGACCTAGTTATACCATTTGTACTTGGTATCTCATATATTATTATATAAGTTGACATATAATATGTGAAGTAATACAGCATTACCCACACACCTTAAAAACCACTCATGAATTACCTCCTTTCAAGCCGACAGTTGAGAAGGTTGACCACTGACAGCATCAATGCTGTCTCTGTAAGGCAGCAATACCTTGGCTAGTAAACAGAAATGCCAGCAATAAAAGTATCCCTTGAACCACACTTGACTTTATAGTCTGGAAACATTCCTGTTTATTTTTGTAACTACTGTACTGTTATTTTAATGTGGAGTGCTATTATAATTTATAATTATTTTTATATCCCATAACAGTAGCCCAAAATTCACTAAGTGCTAGTGCTATTAAATGTGTCCCCAAATGAAGACCCATGGAGTAAAAGTAGATGTTATTAAAAGTTATGGAAGGGGTCAAGGTTTTATGGCTTATTTATTCATGTGTTATTTTTATGTTATTTGATATGCATAAAAAGTATATTTAAAACTAAAATTACACTACAATTGTGCTAGATTTATGAAGTCTGGGAATGCATCCCTTATATTACAATTTATTGCAATAGAAAAATTAGTGTTGAATTATGTGAGTTTTGAAAAACGCAAGGTCTTTATGAACCTATTCCTCACATAAAATGCAACTGCCTCACACGCACAACTGAGAAGCCTGGACAGCTTGTTAATGTGGAGATAGAGCAGCAGGAGTCACTGTGCTGCTCCCGCCTGTTCAAAAACGTACATCTCTGTGATTATTTAAATAACTTCTATTAGACAAATAGTGTCCATTTCCTTTTGTTAGCACCAGGATGTTATTGATATAATAATATTGGGCATGCTCACCCCAAAGGAATGAGCTTTTATTCTAAAGTCATCTTTCCCAAAGATCATTTGATATGTGAGACACACCTCCATCCAGATCATTAATGTGCAATTCTGCCAGGAAGCAAGAGGATAAGCAAGATGATCTGATGTCCTTCGCAGTCTGATAAATGTAGGTGATTGTTGGCAGTTCATAATGTAGCTGTGTTAGATTTTATCTTCCCTTCCAGCCTACCTCCTCTGTTCTAATCAACAATCTCAGCCACTTGGAGGATCATCTGATAAGGCTTGTTGGTCACTAGCTCCCTGCACACAATCCCTCCCTCCCAACTGTGTCCTTGGGTCAACAGGGGGAGCTCAGATGTACCTGGTTACCAGTCTGAAGGTCTTATTCTTTTCCCCAGATCCACTCCCAACTTGTCCTTTGCTAAGCCCATTCCTTTGGGTTCTTTCATGGTTAAATACTCAGAATCTGTTCCATGTCTGGTCTTCTCTATCAGCAAGGTCATCCATCACATGGTAAGCCCCAAAGTAACTAATCTCACAACAGAAACAATGTATGTACCTTTCCCTCCTACCAGCCCCAACACACATATAATATTCTTGATTTTTTAGCCTAACACAATTTTTCATCCTAGTTGGAACCACCTTGCAAATGTTATAGCACTCGCATCATTACATTCATAGTTTTAAATTTACAAAACAATTTACATTAGCATGAAGAAAATTTTTAAATGCAACCTAATAGTTGAGATCATTATAGTACTTAAAGTAACTATATGATATTATAGTACATAGTGTCTTGACAAAGCCTAAGATATTTAATAACATAAAAGATATTAAAATAGTTAGGAGAACAGATTCTCCTTTCCCATTGGGAAAAAGCAGAAAGAAAATAGTGTAGAGGGGATGGGTGATGGCACAGTGGTGATGCCTCTGGACCCCCAGGAGAAAGGTACTGGGTTCACATCCAGGACCTCCCTGAGCTTGTCAGGCACATGCACACAGGCTCCTGATTAGAGCCAGCTGAGACTAGGAGTGAATCGCAATGTGGGGACCTTTCTGGGAGTGTCTGTTTCTCTCTCAGAAAAAGTGCATTTTAAATATTCTTAAAAAGAAAAAGGAGAGAAGATAGCTCAGATTGAACCCAGAAGTATATTAGACTTAAAGATTTAGAAATCGTTATATAGAATCAGGCAAAGAAATCTAGCATACTCTTTCCTATTAATGTGAAAGGTAAGAAAGAGACCAGCGGATGGCCTAATAGTTACATCACTGGACTCCCACATACTGACTGCAGTTCAAGTCCCAGAGCTAGCGGCTTAAAACACACTGGAAGCAGTACATCCATGCCCAAAATCCTGAGAGGAGAATGGAAAAAAAGGGATGGTGGTGTGACCATCCTCCCTAGAGGGAAATTTCTTCTTTTCTGTCTCTCTTGGGAATGCATGTGCCCTGTAGCAAAAATCTCTCTGGTGGGGGGGGTGGGGTGGGAGGTTGGGGGGGTGGCGGGGGGGAACACACGAGAAAGAGAAAAATGAGAGATGCCACTCTTTCTGGAACAGTTAGAATATCCAGCTCAGGGCAGACAGGCTGACAACTCAGTTTAGGCAGGTACCATATTTGTTTTGCTCACTTTTGATTTATCAATACCTGAAACATGTGTGGCATATAGACATTTATTGAATAGACATCCAATAAATACTTGTAAAATGAATGAATGCCTAATCAAAATATAAAGTCAGGGGCTGGCAGGCAGGTGGTGTGGTGGTTAAGGGCGCTGGACTACCACACAGTCGACCACAGTTCAAGTCCCTGACCTACCAGCTTGCTTTCTCACTTTTTCGTTTCCTCTCTCTCTTTCTCTCTCTCTCTCTCTCTGTCCCTCTCTGGTCAAATTTAAATAAATAAACAAAATGAAATAAAATAATTCTTTAAAAAATATAAAGTCAAATATGTTAGTTACAGTGCACTCATTTTAGCCAATTCTCATAATTACTAAAAATAAAAGGTATCTTAGAAGTCTCAAAGGATGTGCTTAAAGTCCAATGGAGAATTAGTGCAAACTAAGACTTTGGGTCTCCTAGCCCTATTTCCTGTCAATTAAACAATCACAGAGCTCTGCTACACTTTTTTGAAAAAAGATGAGTAAAATTTGAGTGGGGCATCAATAAACATTTAACATACCATATAAAAAGGAAATCTTGATTTTCACATTTTCATTGACACACATATACTGCATAAATCATTAAGTGAGAACAACAGTTAAATTGCTATTTCCTGTCCCTCTGCCCAGACCTCTGTCCCAGGTGATCTCAGAAACTTTTCATATAACCCCACATTCACCTTACAAATTATTCTCCAACCTGTGCATGGAGTGATGCCTATAACAGCTCTCTCAGGATCAGGATAAAGAATGAGCACACGCCTCCTAATGGAAGTTTGGGTCTCTAAAACTGGTAAATATAGATGGCATGCCAATCTAGGAAGCACAAAGAAGGAGAGCTAACAATGTATATTTCACCCAGAACATCAGACTACTCAACAATCAAGTCCCTGAGATTCAGTAATTGGCAGTGGATTCAGGCTGAATTAAAATACTTTGTGTTCAGGGCCAGCAAGTGGCATGGAGGTTAAGGCAGCTGGATCCCACATGGCTGACTTCACAGTCTGAGTTCTGGACCTACCAGCTTGAAAATCACACTGAGTACTCTCTCTCTGGTGAACACATATGTCCTAATTAAAATAAATAAATAAATAAATAAATAAATAAATAAATAAAACTTTTTAAAAAGCCCCCTTGTATCCATATTAGTTAAGCACTGCCATAGTGCTCTTACATCCAGGGTATTGTTAAATTTCTGGTAGACTACCCTGTGAAATAGACATTTTCATCTCCATTTTATAGATAAAAAAAATTTCACAGAGAAGTTAAAGAAAAAATGCCTAATATTCCTAAGTTAGTAAGAATTTGAAGCCAGACATTTGGATTCTAGTTGCAGTGTTCCTTCTACCCTATCTTGAATAATGTAGGATTCAATGGACAGGTAATGGGATGACTGAATACTCTATTGTCCAAATAAGACAATTTTGAGAATGAAAAGACCATCACAACAAGTCACGTTTCTGGGCAAAATGGAAAGAAAGTCACCACAGTCCTGTCCATTGACCCCTGACTCCAGCATGATGGGTCGACAATGGCACCACAGTCCTAAATTCCTCCATCAGAAAGCTTTACTTCTTTGGACTCAATCTATGTGCCCATAGTTCTTAAAGTTCCTAAATGGGAATTTTCACTTTCACACTATGAAAATAGCTGGAGTGTTTCAAGGGATGCTAAGTGAATCAGAGTCTATACTGCTGTGACATAT